CTCTCTCTCTCTCTCTCTTGCCCGCTCACTCTTATTTCCTATATGAAGAAAGGAAGCTGGAATTCAGGAAGGGGGCCATTTTCCCCCGGAGCCCATTTTCAGTACCAAGAGAATAGAACTCGGAGGGTGCGGTAGAGAGTGTGTTTTGTTTTTGCATGTATGTGTCTCACAGAGGGTTCTTATGGGAGGGGAGACATTAAATGTTGGTCATACAACCATGTATTTAGTGTTTTTTACACTGAGGGCAGTCTGTGAGACACAGGATCCTTATAAGTCTTTTATGTTGTCAAATGTGGATTCATTTTACACTTGAATTTGTGGAATCTCTACCTGCTTTATTAACACTGACAACTTTTCAAATTGAGTTCACCTTAATATGTCTCATTTAGAAGTAATATAATAGATATTTAAAAACTCAAGATACTCTCATGAGTGACACACAAAACACAAATGTCCACAAGTGTGTCAGATTTGGAGGCCAGTTATGATAAGATCATTTGCAGAGGATTTTAGCTATGTATTAAATTAACATGTAAAATGTCTTGTTCTGGTTTCTCCAGGACCGGTTGTTCTTTGTGATGGAGTACGTCAATGGAGGCGACCTGATGTTTCAGATACAGCGGTCGCGGAAGTTTGACGAGGCGCGATCCCGTTTTTACGCGGCTGAGGTCACGTCTGCTTTGATGTTCCTGCACCGACATGGCGTCATATACAGGTAACCATGCTCACAGCATCAGCATCAAACCTTTAACATGTAACCATACAGTACATATTCATTCATTCATTCATTCAAGCTTCTATTGATCACTTTTTGGTAATGATTTATCCATTATGTGCTGAGTTACCAAATTTGCTGCACCTTTGCACCTTTCAGTTCCCTGCAGTAGTTTTAAATCAAACTCTGTTCCCTTAAATTGTTTGATATACTGTGAAGCATGAACATTCTGTTTATTTGATTTAGTGCTTCCAGCCGAGATATGCGTCTCCATTACTGGTCATATACGAGAATTCCTGGAAAAAAAGAAAATAAACATTATTTCCCAGCATTAATGAAGATAAATATTGTAGACTAAAGTGCTCTTTTCAGGAATGTGCACAGGACATGAACTCATCTTGTCATCCTTAGTTCTTTACTGTACGGCATGAATGTGCTACTTATTTGGCCTAATTCTTCCAGCTGAGAAACATCTTCCACAACGTTAAATTTTCGAAGCTCTCATTGGTCTTGTGGTTGACCAGCAACGATCACCTCCCTCCTCTCCTTAATGTGGGTTTAAAACGTGTCCTTAAAAGTCTATCCTAACTTGTGTGTCCTGGTTTGTCCAGTCAGTCATGTGTAGTTTGTCTTCACAGAACAACTGACCATATGGTTTGTAATCTTTGTTATGTACTGCTCAAACCTAAACTTGTCCGACAGCTTTTCAGTTGGTTTGACAGTTTAATGCATCAGTGAGCATCGTCAGTGATGAACTCTCTAACCAGAACACAAGCTAAACTGAAACTTGCACTTTGCATGTTGATTAATTTAAAAGAAACAGCACACTGAAATCTAATTTAGCAACATACAGTGTTGTTGTCCTGTATGAGCCAGAGGTGAGGAACCAGGCCTTACAACATTTGCTACCAAGGAAACGTGATTCTGCAAAAAACCAAAAACGAAAAGAATAACAATAACATGACTTTATAGGCAGTTTTTTTGTGGTAATAACTTTGAGTTTGTGCAGTTTGTGCTGCGTGTTTCTGTTACTTTCTGTCACTCCCCAACAACAATATACCTGCCTTAAGTTTTTATCTAGCGCCATCATCAGGTCACAATTTCAGTTTACTCAGTACTTTAATGTTTGATCAGATAATTGTAAAACTAAAGACATTCCCATTAGCCTCATCTGTCCATTGAATTTAATGCTAATTAAAAAATGATATTATGCTAACACGCTAAACTGAAATAGAGATCATGGTAAACAAACTTGCTTAACATCAAAATGTTGTTGTGCAGGGTTCTCATGTATCCTTTAAAACCTGGAAAACCTGGAAATTATTTGGAAATTGATTAAAATGACCAAATATCCTGGAAATTAAGTATGTTGTCCTGGAAGTATATTTTTATTGCATTAAGTCCCTCATTCAGATTACACAATCCTATATTTGAAACTCAACTGTTGGTAGAATAAGACACTACAGTTACAGCTATACAGCCCATTATTAATGATCAAATTTCCATTTTAGGCTAATAGGTTAGAAGATCTACTTGATTTGAACTGTTGCTCCACTGAGGTCGCAGGGGTAAAATAGGCCTACAGCCAAGCGCACCACAAAAGCGTGTCCCATAAACACTGACCACCACTGTGAGCAAGGGCTGTCCTGTATTGTCAAGAAAAACCTCCTGGAAAATGATTACTTAAAAATAGTGCAAACCCTGGGGTGGATGGAGCCATCATTGACCACGCAGCAGAGTCTTTGTTGCCTTTCTGTGTAACAACATGAATGTGATGTGTGAAAATCACCATTTCATCCAGGTGGCGTGGTTGGTAAGACTTTGTTAAGCTGAGTTTGGAGAGTTTGTTCAAATCCTTCAGGAAATTGACTGACAGAGAAATAGATCATTTGAACACAAAGGGATGTTTGTTGTTGGGCAGTGTTCTTGTGTCTTGATGAAAAACCGCTAAATATTTGAGTTATGTTAGTTATGAAACTCAAACTCGTTGACCCTGGAAGTGCTCTGTGTTCGTCTGCAGGTCGAGATTACCTCCCTGTCTTTCTACTTCAGGTACAGTTATTAGTCTGTGTGGACTGAAGTCATAATATCATTGTCAACCAACAGCAAACACCAAGCTGGTCCCACAAAAGCAACACGCTGCTCGAATCATAACACCATTGTGATGGACGGTAGCTCAGTGCGGGTTCGGGCTGTTTGCTCCCAGAAATAACTGCGATGGAAGAAAAGTGACTTCTTCTTTCCGGTGTTTTCTCTTCATGAATTTGCAGCTTGATTTGGTGTTTATATTCTCTCATCATGCAATGCGTGTGTTTGTGTGTGTAGATACAGTGTGTGTTCCGCCGTACCATCTGTGCCATGTTAGGATAGTGAGGGACTGTTGAGGCTGTGTGTTTTTTTTTATGTCGTTACGTTTCCTGTTTTATCCTCTCACCTCCAAAGTATTTACCACACACACACACCTACACACACTTATAATTAAACGCCTTTTTACTGACATAATTAATTCCCTGTACCTTAACTGGACAGGGTTTCTGCTTTGACTCATCAAACTATAGTCATGAGAAACACGTATATTTCTTGCACTCGTTGTAACTGCGGTCCTGTCATTTTTTTTATGAACGAAAATATTAGTTTTTGTTTTGCATGATTACAGACCACTACCAAATAATTTCACAATAAATAAAAAAGAATATGTGTGTAAAGAGAAAGCAATTTGAACAACTTGACCACATATCAGATCAGTGAACACAGGATTGCTTAGATTAATTTTTGAACTCAGTATTTAAACCAGGTGCTTTGAAATGAAACATGATTGAACACAGATATTTTTGGTTGGATCTTTTCTATTTTGGGCTACTTTGTAAAGGACTTTGATGGATAGTTGAGGAGAAAGTTGACATTTTCAGGACACCACCATGTTTTTTAACATGGTTGGTGTCAAAGACCAATGATAAACCAATGAAAGATGCATTCGTCCAATGAATGAAAGAGATAAATGTCAATCAGCTATTGTTTTTTACAGCCTATAAGTTTTTTTCCTTCCCGATACCGATTCTGATCTGACTTGGAACAACTCTTACAGCTGTCTCAAGCGAATGCCTTTCTGAGCTTTGCCGACCACAATCAGGAAACTAAAACTGTGGGCGAACATTTTTATCACTGTACCTCAATAAAACTCCCCTTTGACCTTGAGGTACCTGATAAATTATTCTCATATTATTAAATAAGCAGCTGTAGGTTATAATGTGTGGACCTCCCAGAAGTAGAAGCCAGTGATAGTTGTGATAGTTAAATGAATTGGTTATATTGTTCTGGTTTCAATTTCCCATAAATACAACTTTATTTAAAAGGCCTGTGCAAAAACACTTGCCGCCATCTTTGTTGCTCCAAAACAACACGACACGTTTGTTCAACCAAAAGACAACCTACCTGTGTTGAAATGACATATTACAATAACAAATATTGCATTTACACGAGATGCGGTTGTTTTGGGTGTATGTGTGTGTTTACTGCAGTGGCTCTTCGTTGTTTGTGTACCTGCCCTTAAATGTTGTGAATATACAAAATAATGGCATGAAATCCTCATGCACAAACACATAGACATAACCACAGAATGAGGAAACAGGCTGGGAAGTGATCCAACATGAATAGTGTATTGTTATGTGCCAGATATTAAATTGAAGTTGAACGTGACAGAAGATGATAAATTCTTCTTCCACACTGTGTTTTCCTTCATTGATCACTCACTTTTTAAAAAATATATATTTTAAATGTCATTTTCCTAAAACATTATGCATGCAAACGCCGGGTGAACTCCAAAAGAAAAACAGAAACAGAGATGGAAATTCATCTGTTAAATAAATAAGGAAGCTGAAAATTGGTTCTGTATTGTTTCACAACAGTTGAAACTGGCTTTAAACATACAAAGTTAATGTTAATTTAATGGTTTTCTGTCTCCAGACACCCATGAAATATGACCATCATCAGCCAACTCAAATAACCCTAAAATAATAACATCTTGCCCAACACTAATCAATGACTGTGAGTGTTACGTCTTCACAAGAGCTGGTTATCCCCTGTAATCCAGCAAACTCCAATGTTTTGCAATTTCTTATAGTAAATACGACACAAGAGCCTCAAATGTATTTGTCAAAAATGTTACTTACATAAGCAATGCTAAAATTAAATTTAAGCAGTGCTGTAAAAAACAGATTGGTGCATGTAAACACATTACCTTTTTTTTCAGCAGGGCCACATTAACCAGTGAGAAGAGCACATATAAATAAATAAAAACACAAGTACGCATAGTTTGATTGTTAACTGTTAATAAAATTAATTATGTACAGAATACATAAAGTATAAAGCACAGATTTCCAGAACAAAGAGGATTGGATATCAATATGTAGAAACAAGTGATTAAAAATGCAGTATGCAGTAATTTCAAGAGACACAAAAGAGATGTTTAAAATTGCAGCATGACACATGATAAAACCACTAAAAGCTTACATAACTTACTCCCACAGTTTATAAACAGAGGATGTAAAACATGAATCTATAGTTTGTTCACCATCCTGTCTTGTTATTCAGTTATTTTGGCTACATGATCTCAGAGCGAAGAATGTCCAGTCCTGCTGGTGCCTACTGGACCAGGACTCATTGTTTCACACGGTTTGTGTCACAATGGTTTTATTAATGAAAGGCGGTTGTAATCGTAAAATTTCAACAGTGGCACAATTTAATTCAAATCCAAATCAGTCATCGAGGTTAAAGCCAAAAGCTTTGAGCGTTATTGTGTTGTGTTTGTTTTTTTATTGGTTTTGGCTTCATAACCACGTTTTAAAGTGATACTCCACCCAGAGACTGTCTCAGAGTCAAACACTTGCCTCTTGTAGTGAAAGGTGGCTGTAAGGAGTCTCTTAACACCAGAACGTCTAACAGACCCCAGACTCTGTTTTCTAGTAGTACTTGAGTATAGAGGCTGGGATCTGCTTGGATTC